CAGGAAAGAGGAAAGAGAAGGTCAAAACCTTAACCCCCTAAACCGGTCGAAACGTAAAGCGTACCGCCTACGCTCACACCTACGTCCATGCCCAATCTTACTAGGAGGACAGTACCCGACCCGGAAAGAGAAACCAGGCCGGTTTCCTGCTACGGCTTTTCTACTTCAGCTGTGTTACTTGAATATCAGCTAGGATTATTGTATGTATTACTCCAGTAGCCGGAAACTACATAATGTACTAGGCTACTACATACCTAGGTAGGCTGGTAGGCTGGTAAGCTGGTAGGTACATACTTCGCCCATCGTTTCCCTTGAAATGATAATGATGAGCATACCAGGCGACATGTCATTTCCTTCCCACTTACAAGAAATCCTTTAAACTTAATCGAAAAACCAGCCCCAATCGCGTGCCAAACCCCGAATCCACTTTCCATAATGCCAATACTTCTTCCGGCCCTTACCTGGGTTTCATTATCTCCTGTTTTACTCCTCACGTAACATAATTTCCACCCCCCCAAAGTCGTATCCCAAACTAACTTCACATAGACTTCACATAGACTTCACATACTATATCAAACATTACATCTACTTTATTCAGTCACATTCGCTATACCAACATACGAGATACCAGGGTTAAAACCTTCTCATTATAGAAAATGTCTTGTCGCATGCCAGAGTGTCATCGTGTCCGGCTGAACGGCTCAGCAATGAAGCTCGACCACGACAAGGACACTAGTCCTGGCGCCACATTTTACTACTGCTCCATCCACCACGTCTATCATTGCGTCGCAGTGAGGGCCCATCGGCGTCTTCCGCAGCCACTCTGCGGGGAGTGCGCCTGGCTCTTCTTCAAGTTCCCTAAAGAAGCCGCCAAGCATCCCGAGTCTGACATTACCGCCACCGTCGGGCCTGGTGACGTACCAGCCATCTCAACCGCGACTACTTTCAGCCGTAAAGATGTCTACGATCGCTTGTTTGACTTTCAGAACAACACATCGATCAATACTGGTTCTGTTGCAATACCTTTGGATAGAAACAAGCGTCCACTGTTAACCATAGAGGAGATACTAGACAATCTCAGCGAACGCGCGCGTAATCACCACAACACGTCACAGCCCAATAACTGGAAACATATTCGTCAGGCTACCGATATAACCAGAAATAGCAGAAAGGCTTCAAGTCGTATCAAATAGTATTCCGGGTCCGACGATTATGACACATATGTAATAGACGCGGATGGCGATGTCATCATGCAAGATGTCACATCTCCGTCAGAGCAGCAGCACAACCACCTTTCCACAATCCCTACTAGCAGAATTGTACACTTACCTATCCGACGGCGTTGCGACGGAAGCCGGAGTGACTTCCTACAATTTATACCATACGACAACCCGGCTGTTTTCGATGTGCAGCCAGCACAATGGCACCGTGTCCGTCGAGGAGTCTTCCTGTTCCGATATACGGACTATAGAGGATGGCCTGCCGTGCAGCCTACGGCGGACGAACGCCGCATCAAGGCGTATTTCAAACCCCTTGATACCATCGAGGGAGACCGGGGGTGCGACAGGGTACTAATCGAGGCACGCTGGTGGTGTTGCTGCGCCCAGGGCATCACATTCCTAGAACCAGAGCTACGATGGGTTCTAACACTCATTTTTGACCTAATTGGATTTCTCATCGAGAAGCAGTGTAATGCTACAAGAAACTCGATAATAAAGAGAGCCAGTGATCCGGTCCTTAAGCAGCTGTTCTGGGAAGGTCGGTTCTATCTCCACAGCTTAATGGCTATCGTTAAAGACATGAAGGAAGGGTTTGGCATCGAAAATTTGACGGTCCCCCAGTTGCCCAGTATTATGGAAACTTGATTAAATTGCGGTGATATGCTATTCGCCTTTCTGACTTGTCACAGCGCTATATGTCCTATTTTTGTCTGGGAATAAACTAGCATGAATTAAAGAAACAAGCGAACAAGCTATCGAATACTACTATAGTGCTGTCCATGCCGTCCGGTTAATAGTTAAGCTAATCGAAACAATACATAGTGACCTTCGTGATTTATCGTCGAGGGTAAGATAAGATTTACTCATGATGAATTTTCTCTCCACCTCTGGTCTTTGGTGACATACTTATTTACCCAAATACAGATAATACTAGATAAGTAGTATAACCCTGTGTTCTTACGTATAAAACACCTAGGGATATTGGATATGAATAGAATAGGGGTAAATGAAAAATCATATCTTCCACGCATAATCTATTAAGGAATATTTAAATTTTGCTTCACTGCCCGCCACTTTTTCTTCGCGCGTCGGAGTTCATTAGCTAATAGAAAGGTCTGTCTTTTCGAAGCTGTCGGAGCCGGTCCAGGTCCGTCACGAAAGTGACACGCTTATTCTTACTCTTGCACCGGAGTACAGTGGTATTGGACTCGGTTTGCCCATTTTGGGCACGTGTGCCGCCCGAAAGTGCATTTCGAGATGATACTTTTTGGACAGGAAAGGTGTCCTGGATCAATCCATCCCGAGTGGGTATGTTCTCCGTAGATGTATTTCTACCGGATATATCTTCGTTGAGCTGCCGTTTAGGCACCGGGGGTGTTTGTTGCAACTGCACTATATAAATAGGTGTTTATAGAAATGATATAGCAGAATTACAGGGCGGATTTAGGACGGGGTAAGTATGTCATCAATATGAAATGAATGGGCTTACATGTACATCTTGCGCCCCATGTTTTCTAAGATGGGTTCTTATCATAGGTGCCATGAAAAATATGAAGAATGCGAGAGGTAGACTGATTCCGTGTTGCGCGTAGGCTAGTACCACAATCACCAAGCTGAGCACTGCGATGCATTTGCCCACCATGGCACCAATCTCGTATCGCTCATCCATCGACTGGGCCCCCCACGCGCCCGCGCTGCAAGCAAGGAGGTTCCCGGCACAAAGTAGAGCTGCGGAAGTGAGTACGAACACGGTAGGATCTATAGATATCATGGTTTCTTCGCGCTGAAGCTGGAGCGGGTGGTATTGAGGGGCGATTGTGAGGGTTTGGGAGATAATATGACTGTGTACTTGTACTCGGGTGCAAATGTGAGTAATCTTATTATCCCTCGGGGCTGGTATGTGACGAATACCTGAGGTGTATTCATGAGTCGAGACGGTAGGACAAATGACAGTTTGCTTGGTAGCATTATTGACAAGACTTGAACAACTGTTAGGATTCTAGATAAGACATCTGGAACAAATGATACTCACAATATATATAAGGTATACAGTTCAAGCTTCCGTTGTTAGGTTTAGAGACTTCTTTTCAGCACGACAAAGTTGCTTCAATGCTTCCCGCCTTATCTTATAATAACAATATAGACATTTTATTTTAGGGACTATTTAAAAACATGTGCTATGACTTAAAATAAACACTATATCTGTTGATGGATTAAAGTTCGGCCATTCTTGAGTTTATACAGATACCGAAAAAGCCCCAGAAGATAAGAATCGAAGACGAAGTTATAAAGCGATAGAAATACAAGCTCATCCTTTATTAATTGCAGTTGATTCGCATTTATATGACGAGGCCTTGCTAACAAGTATATAGTCTTATAGATCAATTCAAAGTTAAAGGACGAGGGAAGCTGCTATAGATCCTGAACTAACGTGTAGAATATAATAGTGACCTGAAGCACTTCATTGTCATAGCGATGATTTCGTTTTCTGAAGGTTACTGACTGTGTTTCTATATCCGTGGAAGCTGTGCCCCGTTGCTAAGACCTTGACTATGTTTCAGCTTGTAACTATCATATCATCTATCTACTAAGACACTAATGCTTCCCCGTACTTATATGAATGACACTGGGAATTAATAGGGTGTGTTAACATCTAGGAGATTTAAATTTCGTAGGCTATACTTTAGGTAATCACTTCTATTAGTTATATGATAATTCTCCATTACGAGTTTAGTAACTGGACTCTAGTTACGTAGTTTGCTACTAATATACTTTAATGCATTGGTATCCTTATAATTCTCATAGGTATTTCAAGTCCATTCATCCACATGTTAGGCTTAGCTTATTGAAACCTAGAAAGTAGTCCCCAACCTTCAATTATAATTATAGGGGTTCTGAAGATTAGTCAGCTAAGCCTAGCATCAATTTACGAGGATATAACTTCGGCCACAAACACGAAAGAGATGAAGGGAAAAAAGATAAAGTAGTTTTCATGGGTTCGATATACGAAATAGTCTTAGATAGAATGAAAAAGAAGATTGTTAATCTAAGATTGCCTACAGTCGTCGGGTAAAAAGAAAATGAGAATGGTTAATTATAAAAGAAGAGCAAAAGTAAAGGGTTTGGCCGGGGATTGAACCCGGGACCTCTCGCATGCTATTGCGTAGGGTGTACCCTAAGCGAGAATCATACCACTAGACCACCAAACCATGTTTTGATTTAAACTTTGCTAAGCCACGATGGCCAATCATGTCATACAGTTGCTTTTTGGCGCTTATATTGTTTCATCATAGCCCCACTTAATAGCGCGAGCCTAGGTAGGTACTTTAGTAAGGGGCATCACACACATTACCCCTTAACAACAGAGCAACACACAATCTAAATTGTTTTAGGGCGTCACAACTAGTACCGGGCGAAATTATGGCCTGATAAGTTTAGTATGACCTCCTTTGCTAGGTAAACCGAGTGATGGTTTCGAGGAATGGTAGTAATTTAAATAAGTCATCAAGTCGTAGCTGTTAAGGGTAGACGCAACATCCAAATCGAAGCCATGTTTATTACTCCTCATAGAATAGGAACTAATATTTAAATTTTAGATTTATGGTAGATTGAGTCTTATGTTGCACATCGACCGTCTCTTTTTGAATAGTTACATACATATCTACAGATGTCTGACTAGATGTCTACCTCCTTTTTGTATCTTCCCAATGCAAATGAACCAATCAACCAACCGCCCAAAAACGCCCATAGATGCTAGCTAGCAAGATGCTCGCTCATCGTCTAGATGAATCCTTTCAGTACCGCCGCTTCCGCATTCAATATCGAAGAACCTGCAGCTCCGATGACAGCTGTAAAACATGTTAGTTTTACTCATTACTCCGCATGCCAAGGGATGGGAGGTGAAAAAGGGGAAGCTTACTGTTATGGCTCAGTGCGACAAACTTGATATCGAAGATCCCGCTCTCGTCCTCGCGCACGCGACCCACGCTAACCGTGTATCCACGACTCAAGTCGCGATCGAGCCTTGGCTGCGGACGGTCCGGCTCGTCAAAGACCTGGATGCTCGGGCGTGGGGCACTCGGACAACCTAGCTTCTCGGCCTCGCTGACGTACTCTCTCAGGGCAGCACGCACATCCTCCGCACTCGGCGCAGGCCTGTTCTTGAACCGTAGCGATACACAGGCCGTATGTCCGTCAAGCACCGGAACGCGATTACAGGCGGCAGACACGCGAAGCTCCTCCTGCTCGACGAGCGCAGTGGCGTCGCTGTTGATGCCGCCGAGGATTTTGCGCGCCTCAGTTTCGAGCTTGTCCTCTTCGCCGGAGATAAACGGTACCACGTTGTCCATGATATCCATGCTGCTGACGCCAGGGTAGCCGGCACCGGAAACGGCTTGCATGGTAACAACGCTGACGGTGTCGACGGGGCCGAACCGCGCCTGCAGGGCCGCGAACGGGATCACTAGACCGATGACTGCGCAGTTCGAGTTACACACCAGGAACCCCTTCTCTAAGCCATGGTGTTTCCGCTGGTGCGGGATCAAATCGAGGTGTGGCAGGTTGACAGTAGGAACGACAAGGGGCACGAGGGGGTCCCGACGGTAATTCTTCGCGTTGGAGAAGACGGCTAGGTTTGCCTTAAGGAACTCCATCTCTGCGGACGCGACCCCGTATTAGTCGATTGGACTAGACTATAAGATAAATAATAGTTTAAGATGAACGTACCGATCTCGCCAGCAACATCTGAGTCCAGGCCGCTGAAAATGACGTCGCAGTCGGCAAACTCGCTAGACTTGCACTCACGGACGACAAGCTCACCAACGGAACCCATGGGAGAGGCCTGCTTCCATCGTACGGCATCCTTATACTTCTTACCGGCAGATCTAGACGACGCTCCTACGGCATGAAGGACGAAGTATGGATGTTGAGATAGGAGTAAGATGAACCGCTGACCCACGGAGCCGGTGCAGCCTAACACGCCTTTACATATCAAGCATATATTAGTATATGACTCTTTCTTGCCATTGCCGTTGCCATTGACATTGAGGAAGAGTTCTTACCGCATTTCTTAGTAGGGAATTGGGAAGCCATTGTCGTTTGTGATCTATTCAACTAGTGTGAAGGTCAAATTCTTAGGTAGTGTTAGATATTATCAACACCCTTGAAGATTTATTATTTATAGGTATTTATTATTTATAGGTGTATGGTGTATAAGTAGATTTATACGGATTCCGGAGCGCATGTCGCAATAAATCGGCTGCTTTTTGCTGCTTTGTTGCTAAAAATTTGCCCCGTTTGCCCCGCCAACACACCCCGCCATCCGCCATCGGAACACTCCTTCAGGGGTTTGTTTAGGACCCCACTACGCTAAACATGCTAAGCTACCCGGTTAGGCAATTGGTTTATTCGGTGTCTGGCCCCCCCTTTTTTGAGGTCGTTCAAACGGCGTCTTCTAACGGACCCTGCCGTTTGCTATTCACAGAAGCCGAGTTCAGGGTTTCCTGACTTGATCATCTGATTCTAGACTTCAAGTCTCAATAGCCGATTAGTCCCAATGTTTCGTATCTGAAAAAGTACCTGTATACAAAAGTCTCGCTTGAATACTTCATACTCTTCCTAGAAATAAATGTTATAGATGTTATAGATGTTTTAGGTGTCTGCAGGCACCTATGTTAGATACCGGGTAAGATAAATATTAATTGGAGACATTAGCAATGGAGCATATCGATTCTACTAAGGAAAGATCCCTTAATCATTTAGGTTCACACCGAATTTATGAACATTTTTTTTAACGCTTCGTACGGCTTCAGTATATACAAGTTTTACATCGCCAAGCGTTCAATCCCGAGAACCCGCTTCCTACAAAAAACACTTCTATTCCATTGGAGGTATACCTTCAAACTCCCCATACCCGCGAGCCAAGTTCATATTTTCTATTATTTGTGTTAGCATCTTCTAATCATCCCAAGATTTGGTTTTGTAGATCGGAATACTCACGTAGACATTGTGTTGCGGCTCCCTTGAGAAGATTATCGATTGTCACGCAGATGACTGCTCGCTTCCCAGAACTGTGAACCGCGAACCCGCCTATCTCAACACCGTGCTTCCCGCTGATAGCCTTTACTGATGGCGCCTCTCCTACCACTTTGACCAGCTTCTCGCCCGCGTACCTATCTTGGTACATTTGTCTGATATCTCGTGAAGTCATTGTCTTATTTAAGGGAATGTTAATTGTGTGGTGGATGCCCTGAAACCACACTGCGACGTGTGGGATGAACCCTACATCAACACCGAGCTGACTGCTAATCTCCTTCTCGTGAACATGGTCGGTCAAGCTGTAAGGGATGATATTGTTGGTTAGGAGCTCCACGTTGTTTTTCGAAGAAGGCTTAGTGCCTGCCCCTGAATACCCAGAAACTCCAAAGACGGTAGGCTGGCCGCCGAGAAACTCCACGAGAGGAGCAATACCAAGCTGGGCTGCTGTGGCGTAGCAACCGGGGTTCGAAATGTGAGTGGCCTGAGCAATGTCGGATCGCTTAACCAACTCAGGAAGACCATAGGTCCACGATTTATCGAATCGATAATCAGCGGAGAGGTCAACAATTATGCTGTTATCTTCCCTAGAAGAAGAAGATTCCTTGGCCTTGTTGATAGCGTCAACGTACGGCTTGCAAACACCGTTCGGTAACGCCATCACCCACACATCTATTTTACCTTTCTTCTCCATTTCGTACACATCGTCGAAGCTTAGATTCTCGTAGATAATTTCTTTTTTTGTATAACCTTCTAGCTTCTGTCCCGATAATTCTCGTGATGACACGTGACGAAGTTCGAAATTGGGGTGCGTGTTAATAAGGCTGATCAGATTCTGTCCAGTGTAGCCTCGAGCGCCAATCAGCGCGACCCTAGAGGGTTGCGTATTTGATGCATGCTTCTTGCCGTACGGGGGGTTGGGGTTGGTCTCTGTCGCAAAGCCTCTGCGCGATCCGCGGGAGAAGGCGCCCATTGATGTAGCTCCTAAAATAGAACGACGGGCAAGAGTAGAGTAACCTCGAGCCTGGTTAGCCGCGGAGCCAGAAGCAAAGTGTGCTCGTAGATTCTCAGAGGCAATCTGGGCTGCCCGGTGGAGCCTCGACTCCAGGTTGGAATCGCCAAGCATTGCCCGGCCGTGAAGGGTAAATTCTCTCATGAGCTTGTTTAATTCCTCTCCAGGCTCGATGCCGTACCAGAACATGACATCGTTACCCCTGACAATGCTTCCGTCGGCCTTGCCGAAGAACCATGTAAGGTTTTCATCATCGGCCTTGACAGTCCAGACTAAGCTAGGATATTCCTTCTTAATAGCAGCAAAGAGGTTGTCAGCGACGTTTGTCAACCAGCCAGACTTAGTTATCGTCAAAGTGGCCAAGGTCGAATATGATTGGTCCGGAGCGGGGTCGAGGACAACCGCAAGAGCCTTCATGGGTTCGTCGAAATAAGCCTTAAATTTCCGTCCGCTCAAAAATTCTAAGTAACGATCCACCGTAGCCCTAGCATCACGGACCTCGCGATCCCGAACAAGCACATCTTTCAACTTTTCAAGATCGCTAAAGTCCGCAACGCTCTCTGCAGTCATCAACTTATCTCCTCGGCGAATGAGAGTACCGGCCCCGGAATCTGTGAACAGCTCCTTCTGCAGGTCAGCAGGATGTATGATGGCGACGCTAGACGAACGCGGAAGGGTCTCCAGAAGTTCCTTAATCTCGCGTATCTTTAATCGGGTTCCAAACTTGCACCAGGGCTGTGACATGATATGGTCGTATTCCTCATCGAGATTGATGGCAGAGATCTTCTGCACGTTACCGTCAAACAACCCACCCTTCTCGCTAAGATAGACAACCTTTAGCGGTTCGAGTTCGCGAGCTAGTTCTCCCGCTGCGACATCGGCATTGACATTCAGTACTTGGCCCTCTCTCGTCTCCGCCATGGAAGTAAGGATAGGTAGATAGCCGTTCTCTATAGCAGTTTGAATGGGCTCCTTGTTAACTTCGGTGATTTTTCCAACGAACTTCCATTTATCCTTGTTGAGATAATCAGCGGTGAAGACGCTCGAAGTGATGGGTCGAGCGCGGACGCCCATCTCTTCTAGACGCTGAACGAGCTTCAGGTTTTCCGCTAGGAAAAGTCGCCTCGCAATTCCTAAAGTCTTGCCGTCGGTAATACGAATTCCTTCCTCAAACTGGGGTTCGACACCAGCATCCTCGAGGAGCTTGTTGAGCTGAGGACCAGCACCGTGGACGATGATCGGGAAAAGTCCGACATGGTATAAAAAGGCTAACGATGAACAGAGTTCATCCAGATAGTCGGTCAAGATAGCACCTCCAACCTTAATCACAGCGAATTGCTGGGAGGAGACGGAGGAGAAATGGGAAAGGTATTGCTTGACCTCTCGCTTAGATCCGACATTGTTAAGCACCTGTATAACGGCAGCGCGCGTAGTCGAGTCGTTCGATCGGGCGGAAGAGTAAGCAGCTTGTGATGTTCGCAGGGAGAGGCTTGTTGCGACTGCAGGAGTCAGAAGAGTGGCTCGAGGAGAGACACGACGAGAGCTAGCCCTCACGGCTGCTCGTAATGCGCGTACCGGCAGCATATTGTCAAGATGTCAAGATGTCAAGAGTCGAAAAAGCGAACGACTAAGTCCTTAAGTCCAATTGACACTTCCACGGCCTATACAGCCGTGGTATCACGACGGGGATCAAGCTGTCGACGACGAAGCTTTGAAAAAACTTCGAAGGGAGAGGAACTAAATTAAACGAAGAAGTGAGTCAGTTTATATTCAGAAGATCATAGACGAACACAACGCTGAGAGAGAAATACAGAGCGTAATAGACGGACCAATTGAACTACTGAAGTTTAATTACTTGAATTGACTAACCTAGAAGAAAATTAAAAGTTGCTATGTGTAAGATTTTCAAGTTCACATTGTTAGAATACTATGGAGGAGGGGCAGATAAAGTGGCCATGATACTGTTATCCTTGGAGAACTTTGTACCGTGACCAAGGAAAAAAAAAATCAAAAAAAATTCTTGGACTTCTTACGACGCCGAAAACCGCAGTCATAGCCAATTGAAACTTGGAGAAGCACTAAAACCATGCCCTTGCTAGTAGTTATACTTAAGTACACTAAATACGCTAAGTACAGAACCCCACATAAGTATGTATGTAATAGGCATTTGATTAGAAGAGTCATTGGAAAGTATGTAGCAGAGTAGTTACCTCTTATGCCAGGTATTTAGAGGTAGTTGCCGTTTGCGGTACCACATACCACATACCACATACCACATGCAAGAAATATCTACAACTTCAAATAGTAGCATCCTCTTTTAGCTAGACTCTACGATCGTCGCATCGACACACCATTATCATCCTTGGTCGCATTCACTCAGGCCTCCAAGCTTTGAGCTGCAGCAGATCCAAGAGCTTCACTACCGTACCTTACACAGCCAAGAATGTCGAACATCCAATTAAGTAAAATATTTCCTATCATAAAACCTAGAGTAACCTCGACAAGTCAGTCCCTTATTCTGCATGGCCACTTGACCTTGAAGATAACCACCCGTGGCCGAGATGCCGGGTAAGCCAGGAGCTTGATCCATTCAGTATGGATCGATGCATTATTCAAAAAAAGCACTCAGCTAGATGATTCCCCAGTCTAGTAACCCGGTGACACATACACGCACACACACACACCTCATGCTCGTTGCGGTCGAGGTTGTGTGCCGTACCTATGAGACTATCCAACGTGCTCAAACGTCGATCTGGAGTCTACGCAAAAATCCCGCCGCATTCATAAAAGTCGTACTGGCGCTTACGACGGCATATCTTGTATTTTATTCACCTGCCGGCTTTAAACGAGAGGCAGTGCTCATGCAGTCGGATTGGTCTCCCCGGCGTAACGCATACCGAAGGGGCATCTCTGTATTCACCTCTGTACTACTTGATGCTGAATGTTAGGGAATACCGAGTCCCGGCTACTATGATATACAGTCAAATATTCTAGCGATATACTAACATCAAGTTTCTATCTCCAACATTCTCCAAAAGCTGCATTATCGGGAATTTGGCTATTACCGTGTGCAGCCGGAGCCAGGTTCAAATTTCACTGATCATAGGACCTCATGTTGCGTTGCTATTCCAAGGACCTCAATCTAACTACATCCTTTCGTCCTCTACCTATCCGTCGAGACACGTCTGTTTATTTGCCGATGTCCTTAAGTATCAGGTATGTTTAGGACAGGCCACTTTCGGCTACCGAACTTAGAAAAAAGGCTTTGTATAGGTAGTCAGCCGGAACTATTACCCCTGATCCTTATACCTTGTGGATTTACCAATTTTTTACCGTTGCTACCAGGACTTGAGAACATTTCTTCGGTGACTCTGCTGAAAACGCAACGACATCGCGTATAGATTCTATGAAGGACTGTGCCGGATCGCTCTCTACCTTAACTACCTACCTATCTAGTACATCACTAATGCTTAAGCAGATAGGCTGAAAGGGCTAATTGTTGGGCGCCGGGGCAATCAGGACGCCTATCCTTCGATCACCGCTGGTTTATCGCCACCCAATTTAAGACACGAAACGCTTTATCTGAACTATGAGGGTATTCCCTAATTATTAGAGACTTATGCTGAGATATACGGTCGCAGCTCCGCTGGAGGGATATGGCTGTTCAGAATATTCCCTTCCCATCGTTCTCTCTTAGTCAGGGATTATACACTCTTGTTTTTAATCAGATTACGGTTTTTCTTTAAAAAAAAAATGTCGTCTATTACAAAATAGAGGTGTCGAACGAGATTTCAATACGACCATCGCACCGCAATCCACCCCGGCACTGGGTTGCTTGGTACCTATACTACGACTCACCGCCCCTTTAAGTCAGATCTACATCGAGTAAATAGCAAACGCTTCCCACATGGAAATACTCAATTTAAGCGCCTCCTAACAGAATCATGAACGCCATTAGACTATCATGCTTAGTTAAAAGTATTTGAATGAGACCCTCGGAGCAGATCAGAGACGCCTTCGACGCGTGCAGCACCACATACCCAGATCGCAACTCACTTCTTTTCATATTCCATTGTTACATATAGCGCCCTAAGGAGTGTGTATAAAAGCCAGTACCGGTTCATGACGAAGCAATGACTATTATGATATGGCAAGGTCCTGCTCATTGTAGAGTCCGAGATCTTTATTTTGCGCTACGTGCCTCTTAGTTCCTACCTACGGAGTGACGCCTGCATTAAATTTTCTTACTATAAACTACTTAGACTTTACGAGTCTCATTTTAATGGTTATCATGATACTATGCTATCATCATGATCCAGTTTGTCATAGGAAGAAGCAATAGAAGGTAGAGGACTGTAATAAAAGCTTAAGCCCCTGTTAATAGACACCATCTATAGACATCCTAGATTGTAAAGAATAGACGGCGTGTACTCTAACCGTGAACCATATTTCGCGCAGTTTATGTATATAGTCTATCTCATTAATCAAGACATATATGAACAAGTAGGTTGTTCATATAACTGGTACCAATCTAGGCACTCTCATTATTTCGCTTCGTAATGAGACAGCCATAATATTAAGTTAATTGCTTTAAAGCAGTATCATAATGAAATTTTCAGGCTTGACTATAGTTAATTGTCTAAGACAATATATGTGCCTACTAGATCGATTTTATAAAAAAGCAAGCTCCTATCAATCGAGACGTTCTATTGTTACTCCTGACGTCATCTCTACCTACTTCATTCACCACCTAGCCATCCTTCACCAATATTGTAGAGATATTTCTTTGATTTTAGTTAGTTGGGATCCGAGACCTTCCAGACTGTCCCCTTAACTGGCGCAAGACGGCACCCCATTTAGTAGTCATTAACATCAATAAAAGGACAATACCTTGCGACATACATATATAATAAATACGATTGGCCGGTTTAATAATGTATACTTAGTTAATCTCCCTCGACCAATATTTATGCATCAATACTGTAAATAGTGGAGGTGTTGCCTTATGCTAGTTGAGGACATAGTGGACATTACCTAATGCAAAGATTGGCTAGATCAGGGTACCTCTTATATTTCTTTCTATCGTATACCTACAATTCATAGATATCTCAATATTTAATAGCTACCTAAAGTGGAATAGCCGTAGCATTAACTTAGAAAGTTAGTGTATTCCGCGATCTCATAAACAGGTACCTATGCATAAGATTTAATTCGAAAACCTATTTGTCATTCTGGAGATAGGGACTACTGGACAATGCAAACCACCTGCTCGTTTCCAACTATCCAAGATTAGGTTAGACAAAGAGCTGAAGTGATGACCGTAGATGCAACAAGTAATGAGTGGTAGGTGACACCGTTCTAGAAACTTTAAAATGATTACGGCGTTTATACCTTCGAATATCATATAGCGATAATCAAAGTCTTGAAGCTATTAATTTCATATCTATGCGGCTACCATAATTCACTACTCATAGAGGAGGCAAAGAACACATTTGCAACAAGATCAAGACCAGGAATAAGTAATTAGTTTATACGCCAATAAGCATCGATCTTAAGGGGGTCATAAGATATCTTAAATTAGTCGAAAAACGCCTCGCCATCATACATACAAGTTTGATTCGTCCGCCGCTCCGTCCCTAAGGGTGTGGTTAGGGCGTCGACGGTATCCTAAGCGTTCCGAATTCGTTACGTTTGCAAGCCAAAGAAAGACCGGCCAAATCAAAGACAAACTCCTCTCTGTGCTAGCGATTCCGAAGAATTTTTCATGTTCGGCGTCGTCAAAGTGCGTCTACTACTGCTCGTAGCCTGCGAGACTCAACCCGTCATTCATGCCATCAAGTCGATCAGTACCTGATGTACCCAGTGATGTACAGTGGAATTAAATTAGACCTTGCCCTGGCTTGCGAGGACTGTAGAATAAATTAGAACGGGATTATCCCTAAGTGGCCGAGTTGCAACTTACCGGAAGGGATGACAATAACTAGAATTAGGATGATGATACCAGCAATCAGGCACATCCTCATTTTCATGTCCTTCCACCACATCTGCTTGCGAACTCTGTTGGCACCGCGGCGGAAGCCCTGGGCAGAGACGGCTAGATTGTCGGTCTTATCTTGCAGGGCATCGAGACGCTCGCCACGTTGGGAGACCTTGTTGATGTTCTCTCGCATAACACCAACGGTGTCGTCGATTTGCTATGAAACTAATTGTTAGCTTAAATTAGGTACTTTGACTATTTATAAATCGCATTCTGCTCCTAGATTCCAGGATATTACAGTTCGTATTGCTTGCGGCGTCGCGAAAATCGAGTGAATATGCCAGAAGCCTGACGCGATACCCTAGTCCGTGATGTAGCGTTGAGAAGTAGTTTGTAAAAAGGAATCCTTGGTCTCAAATCTTCCGTCATAAACTATACACGTGTGCGCATCCCTTTTTTTATTTCCTCACTACCCATCGCTAGAATAATGCGTTTTAAGTATTGGGATTGATTATTCCGTAGAGTTGTGATGATTAAGATAGATATCGTTGGGCATAAAAGGAGCTGGTCTCGTAGCATTCCCTCGTCGCAATTGGTCCTCCAGATTGGCTATCGATATCTCGGGGTCCAGGAGCAGAGGCATCGAAAATTAAATTTAGTCGACGAAATAAACTTACAGCTTGTAACGCCTGCGTTCGATTGTTGCCGCCCTGTTGAGGTGCGGCCTGGCCGCTGGGGATGTAGGGATCATAGGGAGCTTCGTTCGACATTTTGGCGAGTGATGATAAAACACGGTCGGGTTGGGTTTGTCAATAAGGAAGCGAATGTTGGTCGAAAGCGGCGCCGGAATAAATACAATACGGATAGTATTTTTGTCGCGGATGATGAGAGTTGGTATTGGTTTGATGGTATGAGTGTGGCAAAGGAAGTTGGGAATGGGAAAAAGCAAAGAGAGGTTGGAGGGAGGCCGGAAGTTAGAAGTTGGGAAAGTTGCGAAGGCTAAAGTTGTATCCGAGACGCTTGGTTGTCTGGGAACGCTGGAAGTTTTTGGTACACTGGTACTTCAATTGGTACCTCATACACTAAGCTCGTACCTAAGGGGGCGCGCTAGCATCACCCCATCAATCACCCCGGCAAAGGCGACAAATCACAGTCATGTGATAGCTTAGGTTAGTCAGTTTGCTAAAAACTGATGTTTAAGTATCCAGGTATTTGTTATTACAAGTCTCAGCAGTCCAATAACAATGTTGAAACAGCCTCTTATGACCTCATGTTTTTTTTTCTTCTTCTCTTCACCCGATTTTCGCTCGAGAAAAACGATCTCTTAACTGCTCGTAATATTCGATATTAGATGGATTCTTAGAACCGCCCACAAAGCTTATTCGTGGCTGAGCAAAGAACGCGTATGGCCCGACAATGCCGCATAGGCAACCATTATTCAATGTTGCTAAAAGACTCTAGGTAAGGCACGTGAAGTACCTGGGTATGTATTTACAGGAACGCCAAGTCGGTTGTGGCTAATGTGTATCGATTTTCATATCACCTGTGGCTGGTGACCCCTTTAAGGAGACGACACAATAGAAAACCTCTTCGATGAATGAACAAACACGTCTTATAATTTCGACTACCCTAGAATAGCAAGCTAGTATGAAGAAGAACATACATACACATATATATAATATTAGCTTATACGACGTATGCATCAATCAAAAGAGGTAAAAAGAAGCAAAAAGATGGGGTTTCCCCTTTCGATTTGTATTAGTTCCTCCTGGAAGTAAGTCAAATGAGTTAATAAACTTCAGCATATTTATTGTCTCAAGTACGAGTGTATGAAATATATATAGAGTAATATAGGGTAGAAAGATCCAAAAAAAATAAAAAAAAATACGGTGCCGGGTGTGAATCCGGTGGGACTCGAACACTCGCTTGCACCCGTGAAAAACCCTCCGGGGTCTACCTGGCCAGGGCGACACGCCTAGGAAGTTTTTACTTCAGTAACATGGAGCTTGAGCTACTACATGTTCTGGTGACAGTGCATGCTGTTATTTAATTATAAGTACTTCATGTGGCATCACCTAGGTAACTTATAGCGTTAGGAGACCAAGTGTCAAAATGCGCTGACACCCGGCATTAACTTAGGTACATTACAGATCATGATTACCTGTTGTGAAATGCCCTCATTACCCTGTGACTCCCCACCAAATGGAACAAGCTTAAAGCACCTCATCATAATGAGGTAGGTATCTAATAGTCATATTTATCAAATCTTTTACCTAGGTTCCCTTAAGAAAAATATAAACTGCCTACCTTATATCATATTATAGATATAGTTCGCAGGAACTGTCATCAGTCAAGCTATATATGAATCATGACTTTTTGAAGTACAGTAGTATATAACCACCGGCTACCCACCTACTCTATATATGACTTAATAACTTTCTAGCATTAGGAAAGGAACATTATCTTTGAACACATGACACTAACACCTACCATACTACTTTCGTTACTCTCCTTAATCGTCGTTCACGTTATAAGATGTAACGGAAATCATTGTGCAAGTACTTACATATATTTAAATATTTACTATATACAATCTTAGGCCATCGAATTCTACCCTTCAAGCTGAAACTTTTTCTGTCTGATCATAAGGTACATGAACCATCATATTACCTGTATCAGCAGTTTCCATGACAAGAGAATACCAGAGCCTATCCCCCTGCACTAACGTTGCAGTGTCAAGACACCAGGGCGGTAAGGCAATGAACCATAGTCACCACCGGAATTCTTATCTCGGCCCTGATAAAGTAACTCTAGGTTACATGGGTCAATAGTCATAGTCTGATCAGGGTTGTTGCGAACTAGATCGCCGTGACTAATGTCGTTGGTCCAAGTGGCACCACTATTGGCCTTGCCAGCGAAAGGGCTGCTCTCGGTTGCGGCCTGTGGTTTCCAGGAACCGTCCAAACTGTCGGCCGTAAATGATCTAAAGTATCGCCCGTTCGACCCAATCGCCTCGACGATCATGAGGTACTTTTTCTGACCCTGAATAGTGTAGACCTGAACGGCTTCAAAGAGATTATTGGTTGTGTCGCTTAAGACAACCGTCGACGACGTGCCGAAACTGCCGGGAAACTTGTCGATGGGCATGCTGGCCCGATAGACCTTGCCATTATCCCCGGTGAAGAACAGATACATGTTTTTGTCGTCACCGATGACTGTTTGATCAATACAGCCGGTACCCGAGCCCGAGATGGTCCCAGAGAAAAGCGCCTGTGTCGATGACCACCCATTTGCGTTGGTAGGGTCGGTTGACGTTTTATAAGAGAATGCGGTCGGTCCCCATTGATAGGCAAGCACCCAGATGTCCTTCGGTTGGAAGTAGAACAATGTGGGTGCTACAGTGCCTGAACTCATAGCATTTTGACTGGCCGTAGCCATGTCAGACCAGTTTGAAAAGAGGCCGAAGGTCATTGAGCCCCAGCCCGACCCCGTGTTATGAGTTGTTCCATATACAAGATGCTGACCCTTGTAGACGACGTTAGTGAAGTCTTTAAGCGAGACCCAACCAGACTTTGGTGTTGCCAGCGCGTCTGTAGATGTCCAGCGATAAGTTGACGGAAGATCGCATGTCTGCGCTATGACGGCTGCTGTCGAGGCAAGCCATAGGATACCGGTTGACACCAAGCCCATATTAGTATTCAGGAATTTCATCCTGATGATATCTTCTTATGGTTGAAAGCCAAAATGAGAAGCTTCACGGTTTGATCTAAAGGAGAATTGAGGAGGAGGATCGTCAAATTTGTATATCTGTTCACACAACGGGTAAGTGTTTTCGGTCACGCACTGGATCTAAACAAAGACCGGGTCGCCCACCGGGTTGCCCAGGGTGCTATATCTTCACAAAATTTCCCATCGTGGATTAATACAAAATACTGGTTAATTAACGGGAACCTACGGTAACTGCTGTGATAGCTGCGCTTGTAGTCCCAATTAACCCGTATTGCGGGGACTGTGTATAACGGCTGTTCTAGAAGCACCAAATGGCCGTTTACGTAGCATTAGCCTTTAAATTCCCGACGTCAGTATCATATGTTATATATATAGTTTTACTAAGAAACTCGATGTAACGCTTGCTTATAGGCGAGCAAATCACATAGTTGCAAGATATATAGCTAAATATGATACAAGAGTTTGGCTTGTAAGTCAAGATGCTCTGTACCTTTACAACATCAGAATGAGTATATACAATTCTAATCCACCTATAAGGAATTCTGATGGAGTTAGATTATAGGATATATCGGCGACATAATATGAATTAAGTATTAGCAATATGCGGCAGTGACCGAGATAGGCCAGAAACAAACCGGCTCTTATCTATCAATTAAAAGATTGAGGTCTTACTTTATACTACCTATTAGCAATCGAGGCAGCGTGAAATATCTATGGTACTTCGCTTTGTGTGTTTTGTGCTTTATGTATTGCTCTATTCAAGTCGAGAACTTAGAGTTTCAGGCTCGAAGTCTGGTCGCATCGAAATTCCATAGTAGATATTCCATTTCCCAGAACGAAGTAACTATGCCTTCGATTTATTTTCTTCGCTAGAAACTGTGAATGTCTCGGTAATATAAATACCGATCTCCTAATCTGAATACCTCTGTGCAAAATGCTCTTGGCTCGCTTCATTTGGAGGTTTCATTTTTTGATTGCTTGGCTTTTTAGACCAACCACGGGACATCTCGAAAGCCTTTCCACCACTGGAGCTACAATGCGCATAATCAGAATGGTTCTGGCTTTTGACCACGACAGAATGATTATTCTTTTCGAGCCTTTCTCAGAGCGTAGTCCTGACCCGTTCGACCTATGAGTATTATGGACACATGAAGACCCTAGAGATGACGAAGATAGTGACTACGTATTCACGAGTAGCCCACTTGTTAGTGACGAGAAGGTCGAATAGAGAGCGTAGGGAATATACTGTTCGTAGGAAAATGACAACAATGATAAATATTCCAGAACCAAAGAAGACAGCGAAGATAATATTCCTGTAAATAGGAATCTTAGCATATACCATAAAAGGGGTAGTGGGATAGCCATAATACCAAATTCGGAGATAATTCTAAGAATTAGGTACAATGTTATTTACTAAGGAGGAAACTATGTGGCAAAGGGCATATAGCTTCACGTACTACTGGGATGTGGCTTCCCCCGCTAGACCAATTCGACGGCGATGGTCTTTAACATGCCCCAGAGAGTCTACTTGACCAGATTATTCTGCCAGAGATTCACCGTCTACTAATTGTAAGTTATAGGGAGTGACACAGGCAAGGATAGCTCGCAAGATATTTCCGTTGGAGCCTTGATCACGACTGGCAGTAGTTTGCCCCTTCTCGAATCTTGTATAGATACATGTAGGTATGCACCTTGCATTGGTCCACAATCTAATAATGACAATAATATAGTTATACGGTTTTTATTGGCTTTTTATGTACTCATGATATGAGGTAGGATATATATAAAATTAAAAAAATGATTATGATTTTGTGAACGTCTATGGAAATACCACAACCGCCCTTCCGGCCAGTGTTCCCGCCCTTAAAGCGTTGTAGGCCTTCCCCAGCTCGTCAAAGGAAAACTTCTCAATGTCAATCCTAAGTTTTCCTGACCTTGCTAGCTCGCACACCTCCTTTAGATCCTGCCGTGTACTCCCCAAGCTGATGGCAAACTCGCAGCTGGTAGCTAATAAACCCCATCCCACTTCCAATGTGCCACCATGCATTCCAACGAGAACAATGCGGCCCCGCGGGCGAGAGATCTTGGCGGCAAGTCGAAGAGTATCGGCGCTTCCCACAAAGTCAATAATAGCGTCAACCCCACGGCCGCTTGTTCGGGACATAATATACTCCACTGCTGACGTTCCGTTGCCTGTGAAAACCACTGCTTCATCGGCACCTACTTCAATAGCGGTGCGAAGCCGTGCCTCAATATTATCGATAGCAAAAATGCGCGCCGATGACAGAAGGTTAACGAACTGCACTGCATATGTGCCAAGTCCTCCGATGCCTATGATTGCGACACTTGTACCGGGCTTCAGGCGTTGGATGACGGTTTGGACGGCGTGATAAGCCGTCACTCCAGCATCGGTGAGCGGTGCGTACAGAACAGGGTCTTCGTCACCAATAGAGATGACTTCGATGCGCGGCACCAATAAAAACTCAGCCAGCCCACCATCCATGCCGCATCCGCGCGTCATCGCAATCGCGTTGCGCTTAAACGCTTCGCAATGCTGCTCAGCGCCATCCGTGCAGTACTCGCAGTTTCCGCAATGTCGCATGTGATGAACGACAACAGCTTCGCCAAACCGCAAGTCCGTCACGGCACTGCCAACCTCTTCCACGAAGCCGGCATTCTCGTGTCCCAGGATATAGCCCGGGTCGAGAGAGTTTGCGTATGGCGCCGACCCGGGCTGGCTGTCTACCATGTCTAGGTCGGAACGGCACAGGCCGGCGGCTTTCATACGAATTAGGACATCTCCGGGGCCCGGCTCGGGCCTAGGCACGTCGACGTATTGTCCCGGTTCGCCCCATTGCACTAATTTGAAGGCTCTCATGGTTAAAGGGAATATGTTATCTATCACGGCCAATTTCAATAATAAAAGAGAGTTTTAGAACGGTTTACTATACTAAAATTCTACGAATAATTGTATACCTTTTATGATAGTTAGGAGCGGGGTATAGTAGTAGATATTGAGTCACGTATCTAACGTAATATGCCCCTTAACCGCTATTAGTGCTGTATTTCGCCTCGTCGCACCTAGAGCTCAAGTATTGATCGTAGAAGATAGAGCTACCTAATATGTGAACGAAAAGGGGCAGTATATAATGCAGGTACCCAAGGTCAGGATAAGTCAAAAAGCTATAGGGGATGACCGTCGCCTCACTTTCGTACGCTCATATACTATAAGTAATGTCAAGTATGACGAAATTAATTACTCGAAATCATTACTTGCTTATTTTAAGGCTAAAGCACTTCGCCTAGAGATATAGGTTTAAGGAATTTACTGCCCCCCTGTAAGGAGACAATATCTAAACATCATATGAGAGAACAATAAATACAATGTTATAATTTTCCGTGAAAGCTTGAGCAATAATAAATGTCCTTAATATAATAATATAAAGGCCATGTTGATCCAATGAATTTCTGCCCAGGCTCTCATCACACTACCACCCTATATCATCACTCACATGACCTTGTTCCTCTCCTTCATCCCCAGGTTCCTCTTGCAGTAATTCCTTTACGTCGTCGTTGATATCTGACTGCTCATATCTCTCGTCATATAGCGGTCCTATCTTCTCAAAGTTATGCTCTTGGTAGTGAATATCGGATCGGTGGTTGTAGCATTTGAAGCAAAGGGAGAAGTCGTGGGTGCAGTCGATACATTTCCATTGTATCCCTAAAATCTTCTACGCATCACGATAAGATCAGTATTCTACTGCATATAGTTAGAAAGGGTTATACTAACGACAAAGCAGCTTTTGCAGTCAATATCTTTCCAGTGTCCAGGCTTCATATTGTGCTGAAAGTCGTCCCACTCCTCCTTTTCCCCATCCTGGTTGATTCTAGTACGTATTTTAGGCTCGAGCTCGCCTCTCAACACCGTAAAATTGTTGGCAAAGTCCAAAAGCTTCAACGCTGACCAGTCGTCTGCGCCGTAAGTACACCCTCGAGCCCATATATCTGCGTTATGCGCGATTAGCTTGGCAATAGTATCGCTATGTCCGGAACGTGCCGCCCATAGCAACGGAGTCCAGTTATCGTGGTCTGCGGCGTGAATATATACGGCATTGAAGTCGTTAAATAAATATTCGAAGCACTCTTTGCTTGGTGACGAAGCTGCGAAGTGGATCGGCATGCGACCAAATTTATCCTTCACACCGATTTCCGCGCCAGCTTTGGTCAGGGCTTTGATGCCATCATCTTTCCAGGACATACATGCAAAGTGGACGGCCCGACGTCCTTGGTCATCGGAAACGTTTAATTGGGCCTTGCGCCGGATAAGGAACTTGAGCATATTTGTGCCTGTCGTCAGGTTGGTTTTGGCCAGCTCCGCAGCACGAATAATCGGGTATCCAAGCTGACCGCCCAGCTGGTCAATCGGGGCCTTGGCTTCATCAACTAGGTATTGCACCATCCTCTTAAGTTTTGAATCGTCTTGGATACCCAGCGCCGTATATAGCAACGACTGCCCATACTTAGCATCTACCGCTTCTAGATCTGCACCTGAATCGACAAGTAGCTTCACGATGTTCAACATGCTGCGACTAACAGCAAGGTGGATGATGCTTCCGAAGATAGGACTTAATATATTGACACTGGCGCCTTGTTCTATGAGATATCTAGAAACACTCTCGTTATTATTCCTAATTGCTATAGAGAGGGGGGTATACCCATCATGGTCCTGGATGTCCAATGGAACTCGTGCTTCGACTAGGAGTTGTACCATAGATACAGGCGTGTTCTCCTGTATACGATGAAGTCTAGTCTGACCTTGCTGATTGATATCGTCTACAGGGACATTATAGACTCTAGACAGTAGCAATTTGAGACATTCCAAGGCATCTTTTGAATCAGATTCTGTTCGTAGTAATAGAATATCAACAGCGTCATTGCCATTATTGCTCTTGAAATTTGGATTGGCACCGGCTTTAAGGAGAACTTTCACACAGCTAGGTTTATGGTACATACAAGCCAGTTGTAGAGGCGTGCACCCGACGTGATCTTCGATGTCGACGTTACTTTCATAAACAAAATCTAGGTTGGGTTTGGGATCATTCTCAAGTAGCGCTTGAATAGATTTAGGGTAGCCACCCAGCGCAGTCAGATGTAAAGCCGTCCCAAGAGCACTAAGGCTATCAACAAAGACACCCCTTCTAAGTAATTCTCGAATAATACTCGGAAAAGCGATTCCTGCGTGGAGGGCTCCTAATCCCACATCTGACACCCATTTGACGTCGATATCCTCATCTTGTAGAAGATAATTTGCCATCTCGATTCTACCTTGCTGGAGAGCTGCGTATAGTGGCGTATATGACACACCCCCGGTGTAATTAATGTTAGCTTTATTATTCAATAGGAGCTTTGCCATCTCTAGATTTCCTTGCATACAAGCCCAGGTGAGAGGTGTCTTATAATGTGTATTGTAAGGATCAACAAAGTCCACTTCGGTACCGTGTTCAATTAGTACAGATACAAGCTCGGTATTTCCAGTGTAAACGGCTCGTGTCAAAGGCATCAACTGGCCTGGGGGGGCCGCGTCTTTGTTTGGCTTATGCTCGTGTTCAAGTAGTATCCGGGCGACGTTTGCATGACCTCGTTCGATTGCTGCGTAGAGTGCAGTCCCTGTAACGCATTCTTTGTTTATATCAGCCCCGTAACTGAGCAACAAGCGAACGCATTCTTGTAAACCCATCTCGGAAGCAACAACTAATGGCGGTCTTCCAAAGAAGTTGGCATCCTTCTCCGTATTGCCGCTCTTGAAATCAGCTTCGGCTCTGATGAGAATACCAAGTGCTTTGTGCATGCAATTTTCGACTGCTATTTGCACTGGATTTAGGCCCCAAGGGTCAGTCTTTTCAAGACTTGCACCACCTAGTAAGAGGAGCTCTAATATACGTGGATTTTTTCTTATAGCTATAGCTATGATTGGAGTACCCTCATAATCCACAATTGTTAGGTCCGGCTGGGGGGTTGAGGTTAATAGAAGTTTCACTGTAGAAATGTTGTTTCGCCATGTCGCGATCATCAGTAGCGGCATTTCAAGGAAGTTGCTTCGTTCATTGATATCACAGCCAGATATCAGCATTGTCTCTAGGAGACTGTCTAGCCCTGTAGCAGTAGCCCGGAGTATAAGGTTCCTGGGCCATTTGAAGGCTTTTCGATCCAGTATCTTCTCGACAAGAAGGTTAACACTGCGCATATTACCATAAGCAGCGGCCCAAAATAAGGCTTCTTGGTGTTCCTCTTCATCCACAGTCACTTGCTGTAGTAGTTTCTCAACCAACTCGCTATTCCCCATTCGAGCAGCCTCGGTGATAGCGTACCAACAATTTTTCTTGAAGGAGTTCTGATTATTCTCAGATTTGATCTTTTCATCTACCAAGTCATCTAGCCCTAACATTGCAAATATAGGTAATGTTGAGATGTAGCTTCGTTGCATTCTGGTAAATGGATTTGAAAAGAGCCAAAAGGGGACTTCCCAAGCAGCTCTTGTTCTTGCAGTAGCAAAAAGTTCGTGGACAAGATTGACGGGCTTGAAACTACCACTGGATCTATAATGTTGAGGCCAAAATCGAACGGCATACTCGGCCATACTCATTCTTGGGTGTAATATCACGGCCGCATCCAGTAAAGTCGCCCATGGACCCCCTTCAAGATTTTCAGGGGAAAAACTTGCTAGCGACTCTCGTGCACCCTTGAGTTGAATATAACGCAAGCAAGTTTCCGCCATAACACTATTTACCTTGGCGGTACGTTCTTCTGCGCTCCCTTCAACACCTACTTCTGACATGTGATAGAATGAAGGATGGCTGAACTTGACATCACGTCCTGTGACCGTGATGATTCCACCGAATGCATCCTCTATATCGTGAATAATTCTTTCTATATCTAGATCTTCAAATCGGAGTTCCTTCCCATGAAGTTCGTAGACTATGAGAGCCTGGACTAACGATTCGGATGACCATGGTTCTGCTGCATGCTTGATCCAATTGAAGACGTTCTTCGCTCTCAATTGCATTTTAGGCTCTAGCGAATAGATAAAGGCCTTGACTATATTCTCTCCTGTTGGAGGGAATAGTATATTTATCCTGTCTGCAATGTCGACTTCTGGCCATTCTCGAGAAAAGTTACCAAGCCATGATAAAATAATATGTCCCAGATATGGCGTATCATTGCATTCCTCGAGAAGGCTCTTTAGCTGTGGCATAACACCTTCGTAGATAGGGCGGTTCTTTATCAGACTAGCCAATCCCAGTCCGAGATTCTCAGATACTTTGCCAATGGACTCACTAATCGCTGGGCAACTCTCCAGATCAACATGTGCAATGCCAGCAAACGAATCGATGGCCAGGCCCTCCCGTGTAGAAGTCGATATAATCATTGGGCATCTCGCCTCGCTGTAGCTATATTCCTCCTGTATACGTCCAAGGAACCATCGACGCTGATCCTCGGGGCATTGATCAAAGCAACTGATGAAGATAGTAGGTCGGTGGGTAAAACTGGTAAGGGTCTTCAATATAGTGAATAGATGATACAGGTCCTCCAGCGACCAAGCGCATGTGTCGTCAAGGAATGCTAATTCACTTATTATCAACTCAAAGTTATCATCCCCCCAGAAGCGCCATATCATGGTATTGATCAAGTACGTCAACATTGACGAGATGGAATTACATCGCGAATCCCATCGATCAAACTCAAAATACACAACTGACTTAGAACGTGCACCCCACTCCTCTTTGAAGGCAATCCTCGCATCGTAGTCGGCATAAAAAGCACGGGACACTTCTCTGGTATCAACGAGAGGGTTTCCATTTCCGTGGAGATGCATAATTATAGGCCCTACATCCGTTTTAGAGAAAACAGAGAATGGTTCCAGACCATAGATCCATGCTAAAGTGGGTGGATCGGGTAGTGCTGGGTCGAATGGCGTATTTAAGGCTCGCGTTGGGGGTATAAGTGAAAGGAGCCGGGCTTGGAATGCAATCATACGATAGTTGACCTTGAGATCTAGCAGTTCATTCGTTTGTGGTCAGTTAAGTCTCAACCCTTCCGCGCTTTATGGGGATCGACTTACTACAACCTCTCTCGTCGAAAGTGTTAAACAAGGGTGATAATGAGAGGTCAACTGAAGCACTACGGATGAGATCTACGTGATCTATATGCTGATTACTGCGTCTCCCGGCGGCTTCAAATGATTGTCCGATGAAATGTGTGTATCGTGAGAATGGAGTCACCGGTAGGGGGGTCTCATCCGCACCTGTAAGTTTCGTGTCGTGTAATGTCTTAATATCGACATTGCCTCGTCTTAGACTATCGTGAATGTCTTGGGTGAATAAGTTGAATATAGCTGCGCGATCTAAGATCTTGGTTGCGAGAAAACTTTGATTCACTCTATCAACTTGATGTGCTAGAGCTTTTACCTTCTTTAATAGCTGGTTTCTAATATCAGGGCCAGGGAGAAGAACGAGCTTATGTAATTGATCCTCGAGGTCATCTTGGGATTGAAATCGATGGGGGGTACCCCTGAAAATCTAGTACTGGTATTAGTCGAACTCCAGATTTTCAAATGTTACTCACAATTGCAGTGGTTAGCATAGGTATCTTCCCATAAATTGCGCATTTGTTCATAGCAATAGAGAGCGCCTAGTAAGATTGGTTAATCGTGCTATTATATTCCCAAAGTACCTAAAGATTGGGAGTCAATAGATACCTCTTTCACGATTATCCCTCCAAGATCGTGACATATCCATATGACTGGACGGTCAACTTCAGTCTATACCTCACAATTAGATAATTTTAAAGTCCTAAATTTTAATAATGGGATGTGCGCTAGGTAGTTTACCTCCTCAAGTCCCCTACGAACTTCGGCATACTTTTCGATAAGCCTTTGAGCATGTTGGATGAGACCATTCGGTTCATATAATTCCGAATTCTCTCCAATCTCATATGAGTAATCGAGCTCTCGGATTGTCAGGTCTTTGAATAGCTTATTCCTAACCCACCAAGAACCATCCTCGTCGATCCAGGCAGTCCTATAATCATCACGTATACCGTGAACGGTGATGACACTGTACAATTTGTGAGTTTGGCGTTTAAGATATATTATTCAATAGCTTTCATACTCATAATCATCATAAGCCGAACCTGACCAGCCCAGGGGATAATTTATATCAAGCCCAAGCTTGTGCTGCTTTGATTCGGAACCTTGGGGTAGTAGGTTTTCATTTGGTGAAAACAGATCTGTTGTTCCGGATTTATTGCTGATTACATCTTGATTCTCCTCGTTTCCCGCCGTGCCTGATACGTTTAAGCTTCTTGCAAAAGCTCGTGCTTCTTCTCGTAACTGTGCACCTGTCTTATACCTTGAGAGTAAGGTATCATCCATTAACACTGATAAATCCATAATAAGTATGGCGGATATCAGCCCTTGATTTAATAATGAGACTTATAGAATTGAAGGATACTAAACATGGTATTTGAAAATATGCGCTGCGTGCAGTATAGAGCCTCACGGCGACGTGGAGGTCCTTCTTCTGACCGGAAAATCCGATATCGAGTTGCCCCTCAGCTAACCCCCCTGTTAACCCCCCCTTTATGTGGCAGTACGGTAATTGTATAGAACATCTGCGCACTGTGGGTGAGAAAATTGCAACCCTCTATTTAGTCCATCGGTCAGCTTATTAGTTACATTTGCTTATCCCTACAAGTCCTACAAGCACAATGTAAGGTGCCTATTGAAGCAACAGTCCAATTCAGGATAGCTTCTAAACGTACTATTCCCAAGGCTTCTGTCCTTCTGTAATAATAGTCCTAAAGGTGACATTACAAAGCTCGTTGAGGTTGACACTTCCTAACTCTGGATTCCCATATACCACATTGTTATTTGGACGCGTCCCTGTATCGTTAGGGTCTGGTTGGAAAATAATAGGGTCATCCTTAGGAATCTTTTTAAATAGACCTTTAAAGGACGTCTTTAGGTCTGTCTTGCAAGTGAAAGCCAGTTTACAGAAGAATTTCTCTTGGTCATCTCTCGAGACGAGAATTGCGACCCTCAATGAAGCAGGAATCCCGGTGCGTTGCGTCTGATTTTCTGAGAGTTTCCACGTCGCAATGCAGTTTGGAGGCCTATTGTTAATAAGTCGCTTCCCTCCGCATAAAGTAATAGCATCTGAACTTGTTTTAGAGATTGTCTTCTCCCATTTACCAGTCAACCCAAAGCTAGCGAATTGTTCAACCCCAATTGTAGCCTCCCCGCCCATGGTTATATTTTCTTCTTGTGTCGTTGGCATTAGGCTATACGTGTCTTCGAATGAGACTTTCTCGACCTCAACGTCGCTGTCAGGTGAATTAGTCCCAAATAGAAGCTCAATCGTAGCCTCAGAAATTCGACGTGAACCTCTGGGCTGAAACCTCCACTCCATAACTATCAAAGTCGCATAACGGTCACTATCGGCAGACATGGCTCCATGAATGACCTCCTTGAGGCTACAAGTGATGTCAATAGCCCCAGTTCGTTGAAGAATTTCTGCTCGATGATATTGATCCTCTGTAATATTGAAGACGTGAAAGCCACTTCCATCTTCACCCCCGGCCTCATACATTCCAATGTCCACTTTTTCGACATCTGCTTGTATACATAGTGAGTCTTGAGTGTGTTCAGTCATTCTCTCGATAATGCGTAGAGTGAACACTTTCAGATGAGGAAGTGAGTTGGAGAGTGGTGGTGCGCTAACATAGAGACAAGCTTACGAAGGGAATCTGACTGGGTACCTATTAACCCACCCTTGCATATTACACTGTATACTTTATATTTCAGCTCGGCGATAACAGATGCGGTGATAGCCCACATCAACTGCCACCTAGGGTATGTTGCATCCAGAGCCTCAGTAGGATTTATCTACTCGATTGCGCAGTTCTCCTAACTCTTAGTTTTCAACTTAATAGCAAGGTCAACCAACTTGAACCGCATATCAAAATGGATTCGGATTCAGAGCAAGATTATCGAGAAGATCTCAATGAAGACTTTGAGGATGACTTTGACTTGCCCGAGGATGGCACCGACATCCACACGAAGAGGGAGGAAAACTATGAGGAGCGCTTCAAAGCAGCCGTGAAGATGATTAAGATGAAAAGGAAGTTTGAGAATAAGAACGACATTAATATGTTTCTGCATGAGTATGGAGACATTGCTGGCGGGTCTTCGCCTAAAGTTTCAGGAAACTTGCTTCACGCTCTGATCGACGTAGTTAAGCATACTGACGGTATCAAATCGAAAGATGTTGAAATCCTAATCCGGGAACTAGTCAGAAGATATCCAGAGTTACTCATTAAGTTGAACAAAGATGGGCACAATCCCGTTTTCATGGCCATAAGAGCCTCTCAGCATCAGCTTGTGGAGTATATGATCTCTTCCTGTATTGACGATCAAGGGGAAACCATGAATAGGGAAACCATAAGCACTGCATTAAGCATGAAGGCTCCGGGAGGCGAAACTTGCCTCCATGTTATTTTCAAGGAGAGATTCAACCCGGGCACGGTAAACATGCTTATTGAAAACGCCAGCGACGAAGCATTGTCTATCCAAGATTATGACGGCAAGACACCAATGCATTATGCCGTCTCGTTTAAGGAATGCACAGACGTAAGGGCTAAGCTGATTGCGCTTTTTATCAGACGCGATTTGAACACGATGCGGAATAAACGGGAGCCACAAAAATCTTTTCTTGATCTATTTGATAAGGATGGAATGTCAATCTACCGGGAACATCAAACAACGAGAGTTGTTATTACGAGCAAGGTCATGAAACTACGTCAGGCTGCGGGGAGTATGAAGCAAGATCAAATCGATACTTCAAGATTACCTAGAGAACCCGCGCCCCAGGTTAGCATAGGATATCCGGGGAGTTCAGTCGCAATTAGACCCACTAACGACCGCGAAGAAGAGAGATATGGTCGTATCGCTAATAGAAGCGGTGGTTTAGATGAGCGTGAAGCCTTACGTCAAAAGAAGAAAGCAGAGGAGGCTGCCGGTCGAGATACTAGCAGGAATCGAACAACGCGAGTGAATGAACCCAATGAAAAATCCATACAATTAGCAGTCAAAGTCAATGGTACAGCTCGACAACAAGAGCCGTCACCTAATACACCAGTTAAACGGAGCAACACAATACATTCCGAGACGACTCAAGATCGGGAGAAGGAGAAATCATTAACAAGCACAGCTCAGAGGAATATTGGCAAGTTGAATGCCGTTACGAAGATTTCTGACAAGATTTTACTAGACCTGAAGCTACATTATATGAGGACGAGAAATGCTGAAAAGGTGATCAACTTTTTATATGGCAACAACATGGATGGTAAGCATAGTGCAAAGCAAAACCAACTGCTACTAACATGGGTCTTAAGATATCCAAACCAGTTTTGACTACGATACTCTACCCCGAAATATTCTATGGAAGAACTTCATCGGCAGATTTGGCGCGGATTCCAAATCTGGCCTTAGATTCGATAGTGTGCTGCAATATGTAACGCTCCCACACGTCGAAGTTCGCCAAAAAGGTCGTCTAGCCGATCAAGACGCTAAAGTACAATCTAAGACACACCAACCTGGAGCCCTCGGTTGCGAAGATATGAAGTATTTTTTTGATTGGCTGTATAATAAGGGCGTGCGCCACATTATCAGACTAACGGTTGAAGATGCCGGGGGCTCGGGGGAGAAAGTGCACAGTGACCAAGCTATTCAGGAGTCCCTAGAGCGTTTTGTTGTTGAACATCTCGATTGGCAAAAAGTAGACTTGGATCCAGAGACTATACTACATGTTAGTAGCAAAGTTGACATAACAGCACTTACGCATGATGGTCCGAAGGACACCGAGTTGGTCCCGTATTCGCAGTTAAAGCAGCTGTACTTGAGGTGGAGCGGAAGTAATGCAGTGCTCCGAGCCTGGAGCGAACCGGAAGGGTTACCAATGCTGCCCCGACTCATGAGAATCTACCTATGTAGACCCCATTCTGAAAAAGTATGTGTTTCTATAATGTGTTAGTGATATCTAACGGCTAACCAAGAGAAGGCCTATGACAATATACAATGGATTAATAAGAAAATCATCGCGTTTCAGACCAGACTCAATGCGAACCGAAAAGCCATACGCGCTCAAAAGCTTGCGGCTTCTGACAATAAGGTTGCATCCAGTATTAGTGTTGGATTTAACGATGTTGAGGTTATTGCTACTGACTTGGGTATTGGTGAGAGTAAAGCGACATCTAGTAATATTCCCCATTTTACAACTTCGACACATGTTAAGGGGGTTAATTCTCATCGGTGGCTGGACTCAACAGCAAGGTTCGCTGGCGAAATGGTTCCCTTCTGGCAAAATATAGTCAAGGAATTCCTCGAGACAAGGAAGAATCAAGGTACCCAAGAGCGGATTGAAGACGACGTTATACTAGCACTAATCGACGATGGCGTGGACATGTTCGATGCTACTTTGGACAATCACGTACTTGAGGGCAAGAGCTTCGACTTCCATGACGGGAAGATTCGGCCGCCGTTCTCATCAGCAAGAGGCCATGGTACAGTCATGGCCAATATGATCCTACGTGTTTGCCCAATGGCAAAAGTCTATCCAATACGGCTAAAGACATATCAGAGTGAGAATGGGAAGAACACGATCGACAAGGACTATGCAGCGCGGGTACGTATCATCTAAGCCACTTCGGGAGGGGCATCATAACTAAGATACTCATTACAGGCTATACAAGCAGCTCTTGATAAGAAGGCTACAATTATTTCCATGTCGTGGACGCTCCCAATGAAGAATAATAAGAGCGATTCAAAAACTCGATGTAAGCCTTTCTGGCGCTTAGCCCTGACCCCTTTATTTTATTCCTATCTAGATAAAAATGTAATTCGTCATTGCATGAAGAAGATATGCTAAGTCCTAACCTTTTAGTGGACACTGTTCTGAAAAAGGCAGTAGATAGTAAAGTCTTAATGTTCTGTTCTGCTCCTGACGAGGGTAAATTCACCGAGCTTGACTACCCCAGCGGGCCATGGCGTGACCGTTTCTTCCGCATCGGCGCCGCACGTGCTGACGGTACGGTATTTCCGTGGACACCCGACGATGGCATCACATACGTCCTACCCGGCGTCGACGTGATCAAAGAACAAGCAGGAAGACGTTCATTCGAGATACACTCTCCAGGGGGTGCTATAGCACGCGAGGTAGACGTCAAGTACGAGACCGGCTCAAGCGTTGCCACAGCACTAGCGGCTGGTCTCGCCGCCATGATCATCTACTGCGTCAAAGCCAGCATCCTCGCCGTCAAGACGGCGAACCAAAATAAGGGCTCCGTGGTGGGTATCGCAATCCCCGACAATGGCGCAAATCTGATCGCAGATCCTGATGCTATGAAACGAGCTTTTGCTAGCTTGGGAAGCGTTACGCAGAATAAGTTTATTCAGATTTGGGAGGAGCTGGATAATATTAGCGAGTTGTTGGAGGCTTCGCGAGGTCAGGATTTAAGTGCAGAGGCCAAGCTAAAACAAATCGAACGTTTTGTGGAGTTTGGACGCAAGCTTTCAAACTCGGTCAAGTATTAAGTAGCAAGAGAAGGGGATTACAATTCACTTACCTAAGGCTCGCCCCTGAGAACTGGTACGGTATATATAAGTGATCAATATTGTGCTGTCTCAGGCCGCTTTGTTTCTCGAATCCGTACCGGTAGCTCACTTTCAGAACCACTCGAGGTTACTCCCCGGGTAACACGAAAGTCTAAGGTTTATACTGTACTATACTTGATATTTATTAGGTATTATATTCTTAGTGAAGATCAGGATAGATTGAACTATAAATGCCAACCCTCCACCCTTTTATATACCCTCTCGCGAGAGCGCTGCACGCATCTGATATACCCACTCCTGGTAGATTTACTCCTAAATCTACCTCAGCCCAGTTTGGAGAGTGAACATAAGATTGTCAGGAGTATCAAATATATCCCATCTATACTTAGATATACCAAGTATATCCGTAACTAAATGATCTAGAACCCCACGACTAACATCCCAGGTGGCTTCAGCAGTTATGTGAACGGGATTCTTGATATCAAAGAACGTTCTTAAAAGTCTTTCATGAGCGAAGCGTAATATCTTGAAATATACGTTACTAACGCGAACAGCATTATGGTAGCCGGTTTGCTGTAGAGTGCGAGTTACGTCGCAGGTGCGTTCGTCGTTGCGTATCAAGTTCCTAATTATGGCTAGGGGTTGTGCTTGATAATTGAAGACGATAGATGAAGGAAGGACTAATGGTACGGATGGTACGGATCGGAGCATAATCATGAAACTTATATGATGCCTCGGATTTTGAACGAGTTCTTGGTGATTTGCGCCATGCTTTAAAAACTCATTTACCAGTTCAATCCAAGCTAATATCATATTGTCGACGAAAACATCATTATCAAATGTATGGGTTATGATTTGCAGAAGACGCGCCCATGCTGACTCCCGTTGTGTACAGGGCGTTGATACAAAATCGTCGTTAGTTAATAAGCTTACTGTTTCCACTTCTACCATACCATTAGGGTCAGCTCCCCGATCCAGTGATGTGAGTATAAGCTGAGCTCTAGCCTCGAAATCTTTACAGGAATTCACGTCTCTGCTTATTGGCGATAGTACAAATGGGTGAAGAGATAGAAATAGCCCACTCAATGTATAGTGTATGAGTGTTGTGCATTGTTTCATGGATAGGTTCGGAAGTTCAGACAATAATCGGGACGTAATCCCAGACATCGCGTAGAGCTCAAGTGATGAGGTTATATTGTAAAAACTCCCCAGTTTTTCAGGGTGTGTTTGTTTTTCATTTATTTTGGTATAGATAGAATCAAGTTTCTGATCCAGGATCTGTTCAAATCTTGTTTTGTCTTCCTGTAATCTCAGGATGAGATTCTGAATATCGCTGTTCGTATTATCGAAATCTGGATTCGAACGAAGTAGGGCCAGATCGTATTTTCTCCTAAAGATTCAAGTTAGTTACAAAGTACCTTGATTTATAGCTAAGATAGCCTGGTATCAAGAGTTACCTCAGGTCAAGGAGTATTTGCGTCTCCAGGGCTTTCTGATAGGAAGTAAGTTTCCTGTATAGTTTCTCGATAGATCGATTGTTGATGAGTAACTTTGCTGTTAATATCAGTTTTTGCTTGCCGTTGCTATGGCTGACAGATATGTTTAATTCTTCTAACAATCTGTTCGCGGCATCTCTACACTTGCACGCAATATGAAAAATAGTGTGATCACCTTCTATAATTGGTTGTGCCTGAGTCGATATTTCTTTTTGTAGTGCTTCTAAAGCCTCCTTCAAGTTAGTCACGGTCTAGCTTTGTACCTGATCGATTTGCCCACTTCCATATATCTTTCTACAAACTCCCACGACTTTTAAGCCCCAATCAACGACCTGAATAACGTTAACGGCAAAGGAAAAAGCTGCAATCGCCTCCATATTTCCATATTGCCTATATTAGTAAGATAGAGAAGGGGGAAGATAGTTATCGGGAGTTTTACTATAGAGGCAATTTTTCATGAGGGGTTTAGAGCCTGATAGCCAGAATTATGCCTTACCATTCGGATCTGTTTATTTCGCACCAACAGTCAACTGCAATGTAACATCAGGAAACAAGCCAAATTAGCTCCAACTACTAACGAATATGCGACGCTTTGGAGCGATCAGTCAGGCTAATCATGTTTATTATATAATGCTATAGTTCTCTTTCAAGAAGGGAGTATAGATTATAGGGGCTTTATATTCTCATTCATGGTTCGTAATATCTAGATAGTTCAGTTATAGTCTCACTAGCATTCTAAATGTCACATATTACTTTGCCAATGATGTCGTCTAGCCGCTAGCTAGGCATTTGTGCATTTGAGTTGCTGCACTGATAATAAACATGCCAATTGATAGTGTGGCACAAGACACTAGATTACCCCTATTTCTATGTTCATCGTACTGGCTAGCAGTATAGTGTTCAATGAGCATATATTCACTATATAAAATTATATCATGTAAAATATGAAGAGATTATGTATATGTTTATGATCAGCGGAAGAATTATGATCTACGATCGCGTAACCATGATCTGTTACCCGTCAAGTTCCCCTTCCAAATTACGGTCTTCTTAGCCTGCTATTCAAATGTGGCCACGAGTCACATTCAATAGACGTATTAATTATATTCAACATTAACTAGATCGTGGTCGATTAGGTCCTAGTTAAAAGTGGCATGTTGGAAAGAATATAAGACCTCGTTGGATAAATTATCTTTTGATAAGCCGTAGCTATTTACCATATGAGCCTTGTACTATGTCAGAGATCATGAAACCTCCTACAAAGCTTCTCGGCTAGCCGGCGCTGTGGTCGTGCGGGCCTACGTCGCCCAGTGCCATACCCACTAACGCTATAACCATATAAGAACTTGCGCAGCCTTGTTTAGGGACCTCCGCTCACTCGCGTCGTCATCTGTCTCAATTCAAAACCCTTGTGCAATTTGAAGTCGGCATGACGTCGGAATATGAAATGAGTTTGTCGCAAATCAGTCAGACTTCGTGCGGGGGAAGGGCCACAGACGAAAGCAAATGGATCAGGTGGGAGCACACTATATAGGACAATCTCGTCCAACTAACGAGATGGTTGGACTTTGATCGGCATCATCATGACCTAGATAAATTTTGAAGTTTTACATGGTGCTCTTAGGTCAGCGTTTAGGCGAGTTGATTCGGTGCCGTGAAGATTTTTCTGCGATGGTATTCGGAGCCTCTATTCAAAGCTGCCGCCGAAACTGAGACAATGTAATATTTTACCCAACCGAGGTGTTCCGCAACACAGACTCAGTCGGCTGATAGAATTAACTGCACATCTTGTATTCCCACCGTCTCGTCGTGGTAAGTTGAAATGAACAGAGCTACGGTAGCGTCAATCGCTCAACGGTAGTTACCTAGGTATCCTAACCTCAGGCATCATAAGCCGAGATTAGTAGCCGCAGTGTCGAGTTGACCCTACGATGTACAACCTGCATTCGCAAGCCAGGTCTCTTGACCTAGGTCAGTACTATAAGAATCAATAGATTGGAACGAGAAAACCCAATCAATAAGCCGCACACCCTATATCAAACGTTAGTTACCACCTAGACTTAAGCTGACTATCCAAAACCTCTCCCCTGCTAGTTGACAACTAATATTGACAACATGAGGGCGTTTCGGAACGTATGCCTTATCCTCTTCTCCATAACACAAGTTGGGTCTAGAACCAGCAACGGCCATCAAGATGGGACGATTCACCCGAACATGTACCCGGCATGCATACGTTATGAGACTGCTTTGAATAAGCTCTACGATTGTGATTACTTTGAGAGCTACTGGGGATTATCCCACGACGATTTTATCAAATGGGTAATACTTTCCCCAATTTTAAATTGGACATGACTGACATGACCTCTAGAATCCTTCAGTCAAAGCCGATTGCAGTGGGATTAAAGTTGGTCACTCATACTGTGTTAAGGTCAAACATGACCAATCGGTCTCCGTCTCGACCATTGCAACAGTAACTCCTCCGCCTTCAACTGTACAAAAGGGTCTCATGATAAACCATACCACAATAACAGTTTCAGCGCCTCCTAGTCCAACCTTCACACAGGCGGGCATCGTGAAGGATTGCAATATTTACTATCGGGCAGTGGCTGGCGATACCTGCTCCAAAATTATATCCAAGTATAAGATATCAGACCCAGCCCAATTCATAGAGTGGAATCCAGCTGTAGGGGTCAACTGCTCCGGGCTAGGCGCAGATTACTACTATTGTGTTGGTAAGTTCTCCTGAGATACCTAATGTTTTACCTAGGTATAGCTCGGCCCTTTGATGCTCAGAAATCTCACACGTGAGCGGTATAGGAATCAAAGACACGTCTAGCACATATACTAGGCCATTTATAACAACGGCGATTCCTCCAAATTGTATAAGAGTACATCCTACGCCCACCCAACCTGGGTCTATATGCAAGTGTAAATCATGGCATCAGGTTAATTCGGAGGATACGTGCGCGAATATCGAGGCGCGGTACAAGATAACAGCGGAACAGTTTAATAAATGGAACCCGTTGGTCGGACCTATGTGTAAGTTATTATGGGATGGATATAACGTATGCGTCGGTGTGTAGCGGGCCAAATTGTCGTATAGAGTAATTAGCAACAGAACTCTTCTTTTTTTCTTTTTTTTTTCATAACTACAATGCTTATATAATTCCAAATGCATCCCTGATTATTACTATTACAAGGTCCCGGTAATAATTATCCCTTCGGGTAAGCTACTCCGCGAGGGAAAAAGGCGCAGCATTATGCGGAGCAGGACGACCAGGAATTCCGGATCATCGGCAGCTCCGTCTAAGAAAACGGTCGTCCGGGCCCACTACAAAACGGGAGATAAACGCGCTTACAGCGCCGAAATACCCAAGACCGAATCCAAAGAGGAAGGTGATTAAAAGTCACTGCCTGTGTCAGCCAGCGGACGTACCTCTTCTAAATACATGTTCTAGACCTAGCTATGACCCCGGAGCCGACCTTCCAAGCCGACGATTTTTATATATGTCATGTAAGGGACATATACACACCATGAGCGCCCTTCTTATTCACGTGCCTCACACCACATCATATCAATATCTGCAATGCACACATAACGGCACCAAGTGTATCTAAAGGTCTAAAGGACGGGAAACATAGAGGAGGAAGTTAAACAAGGTATGTCGCTTTACACCTCCTTCCACTCATCCCCCCTTGCCTCCGAGCTTGCTTGCCAGCCGGCCTACCTACCTATCCATTAGTCATATAACAATTTCCAATCCTCCATCTTATGTAACTAAATATATAGCAGATCGTGATCATGATATGGAATTTCGAAGCGAACCCCAACGCGCATCGAGATAAACACGGGCCGCAGCCAATGAACCACATACGAACCGTTACATCCACTCGCCCTACGCCATGCAGTACAACTGATCTATCATAAGCTGAAATTTTCAAAGTCCAAAAACGGTTCTTAATACGTACCTACTTATTATAAGGATCTTGACGCTTGTGCCAATCGGGCGCTCTGCCTGCCACCTATTCGTTTTATCCCGGTCCAGAACAACTCGCTTCGAGACCGTTTTCGTGAAACCCTGCATACATGTGTAAGTTGGTAGGGAATCATGCTACATTGTAGAGTTACTAGGCCAGACGTATGTAACTCTGCACGTACAGGGTATATCGGCAGCGTAGATACCTCATACAAAACGTGTGTACATATATGGACCCCGTCGCCGCGGGCTATTCCGCGTTGTTCCATCGCGGAACACGCGTCGTCCTTTTCAAATCTCGTCTATATTTACAAACTTTGTGTGGAGTTAGTTCCTGTTAGAGCTATTGGATGAGCCCCTTGCATCAACATCTGGATGGACCATGTTCTATGCCCATGTTCATGTGTACGTACGAATAGCAATATAGCTGTATTAGCTCTGCTGCATCGTGCTGTGGGCATGTATCTAATGTGCATGGGTAAGGAGTGGAACTCGTTTGCGCTGTTAGAGGTATGCAGTAGAGCATGCATGCATATAATGGTAATTCGACGTGCCTTTCCCCCCCCCCCCCCCCACCATTCAATTATTCCCCGTTTAAAATTCCCTGGAACGCTTAATGCAAGGCGAAAGCCATCCGAAACATTCATCCCCACGGTTCCCTACCGATTACCTATGTGAGGGCTCCAGCCATAGTTGACCATTTACGGGTGGCGCCGCCTCACCTGTCCAATAGATTCAGCCAGTTCAGCACCATCTGAGCCTTCAGTAGGTTTCCTCGCATATCCATATGCACACCGTCGTATAGGGTTGCTTGAATGCTCATGTTCCACGTCCCGAGGTGGTCAATTCCCCTTTCGGCCGCCTGAGCTGCCATCTCGTGCTCGAACTTCACGAGGGCCTTATTGCCCTGGCTGACAATCCACTCATCCGGCTTCTTGTCTCCAGCCGCGTTTGGCGTAACCAGAAGAACCGGTACATTTCCTTTAGAGTTTGGACCCCGCTGTCGCGTGCTAGTTCTCGTCTTCGATTCGATCGTGTCCAATACCAGATTCAGCCAGTTCAAGGCTTGGTCTATCTCTAGATTATTCCAGAGCCCATGACCAAGAACGAAGGCCTTTCGCTGTAAGGGGTTGGGATCAATCGCCTTTTCTAACCGTCGATGTTCTTCCTCTGGGATGGGATATCGCACAATTTGCTCAACTGCCGTCAAATATCAACATGATATGCTATTACCAAGCGAGGCCTATCATCAAAACGTACTCCGTAAATCTGTGTCCCACTCGGGCATCCATCTTGTGCACGTGAGGCTTATAGGGTCGTGCTCTATGACATCCGTGGTGCTGAAAATACCCTGGACTGAGCAGTCGCGGACGTCGAATTGCCCGTTACAGAAGCACTTGCGTCTGGACGTTCCACATTAGCGACGAGGCTATATAAACTTCGAGGAAGATACTTTAGGTATGTTTCCGCCATACTTTTCTTCCTCATCAAAGTTCCAATTTGTAACCCCGCCATATCCTATATCCTCTCGAATTACGATATTCAAGGCCCCAATAATGTGTCTCAGCATAGAATCTCCTACGAGAATAACTTGAGAATACCGACCCAGGATATCGCACGCTTCCCACGAGCTAAACCACTGCATATCGCAACCCCGAGGTGTGTAAGGCGCATCTTTGCCGGCCCGACCGCCAAATGACATAGCTGTCAGCATCGAATTCTTGTCTGAGCAAACGGATCCAACAGGTAAATGGATGTCCAAGGAAGAAATATTACATTCTCGTCCGTAATGCTTATATTGACGTAAAGTATTTATGGGTTCCCTCGCCCATAAATCCGATGCGTAGATTTGGGACGTTTTATGGAGGTGGTAATATAAAACAGCAATGATGAGGATCATAAGGAGCCTATATAACATTTTTCTGAACCTTCGTGGACAAAGTACATGATCGCTGTCGTGAATTGTCCGAGGCGAAACAGTAGTCCTGAATCCCAAGAGCCATGCCGTAAATCGATGTCGACGATGGTCTTGCCCTCTAAAGGTTTCCCGGGGAATGTGTACGCGGAGATCGTCCTGAGAACCGTCGCTAGACATATCGGCGGTGCTTCTGATTTGCTATCAGATTTTTTTATATTATTTGTAAGGTTGATGGAAGTTTACCATACTATAAATGACAAGAAGTTGGAATAGATTAAGAGCCTCGGTAGCCGGAAAGCAAGGTCAGCGGCCCCAGAAGGTGCAATAGTATGAAGGCAGTAGCTATGAAGGTGGTAGCTTATTCGTACTTACCTAAGGTCAGTGCCTAGGTACCTATTCTTATCAACTCTCTAATGGTGTACCTACCTAGATAACTACCTAGGTCTTCTATTAAACTATTAGTGCTCAGAATAAAATCCACAAATTGCTTACCTAAAGATTATTAAGTATTGTCGTGGACTAATTAGATAAATATCTCGGTAAGTATCCTCATTAATCATCGTCCTCGTTGTCCTCCTCATCTCCATCGTACACCGTGTCCGTGACTACAGCTTCGGGCTCTTCCACACTCCCTACCTGTTTTACTTTGCCTTGGTTCTCGAGAGAATACCCACAGCCCTTGATCGACGGACAATAAACTGACCAGGTAAGATGGGACTTCGAAATAAATATTTTCGGGTCCCTTGAGCTTTCTCACACCTCGAGCGCTTTGGTTTCAGTCTGCGAGATATCTGCTAGTAGGTCAGCATTAGCAGGTCAATATTCAGATTGGTGAAAAGGTCAGTGGACTTAAAGCACACTTACGCTGCGGTAGTTGTAGAATCAGATAGTAGGACGCTTTTTTGTATATTTTCTTCATGACTTTAGTGTGTACCTGTTAAAGAAAAAAAGCCTTGGAAAGGGAGCACATACGGCGTTTCGTTGGGATGCTTTAGGGGAGGTAGAACTTGAAGTATTGACAGGTTTAGAGAGGGAAAAGATACGCGAAACGATGGAAGCGACAAAGGCTTTTTTGTTGAAATATTACTCAAAGTTAAGAGTAAAATTCTGTTGGGCCCTTCACTGTCCAGGTAATTATAATATTGTTGTCATAGCGAGTATTGAGGAAGTATATATTTCTTAGGACATGATTAAAATCAAGACCGACGAGGTTTGGCCTAAGTATTACTATAGCAAAAAAAGCAGCCCTAACTCTACGCAACACCTCACGTTGATACAATCTATACCGAACCTATTAATACATCTTTTTGCTTATCATGCCCACCTAGGCTCCATGGTTACGCCAACTCAAGATCTTAGTATTAACCGCTGATCTAAAATTTCCCCATCTCCCCTATTTAGTTATACTCACACTAACTCATCTAAATCACATAACATACCTATTAATTTAATTAAACACAAAAAAGAAATATATGCACATTGGGCTTTTTGATTTACATAATTAAAACGCCTTAAGCATTTGTCGTTTAGTCGAATAAGCCTTGTGTGTCCGCACTTGACATAGTTTATGCTCAACGCCGTCTTTCCATCGAGATAAATCATAAGCTAGGTAACTAAGCATTCTTCTAAGTTTGGTTAATAAGTTGATGGATGATATAACTTATATACATACCATGTTTAGCAAATTACCATATATCGACATTATTATAAAAAGTTCCAGTGTAATTCTTCAATATGAGTCGTTGATCACTAATGATATTTGAAGATATCAAAATATGAACAATCGGAACTCCGATCGACATATGCAGTTGCTTGGCACTTTAGATTCTTTCGAATAGTAAACCCGACGGAGTGATCTCCATCCTTGGCAGGGCCTTACTGACTATCAGCACCGTTATTACCTAACGATCTCTATGATCGTCATTTCCATCGTCGGAGAATAAACGCGTGGTTCAAGTGGGTACATAAAAGCGGATCAACGTTGAGTTCTTAGTACATATCATATTACGCTTTATGTTAAGGTAAGATAATGTTTAGGTATATTGACCATACAACTAAGAGGCATCGTGCAATATTATTAATACCGTAACTTAATACAAGCTCTTTAAGCTTGTGGTATATATCTCGAAGGGAAACATCTGCTTTTGCGGCGACATCCTGGTATGCTCTTGATGTAGTCCTTATAATTAGCTCGCGAACCTTGATTATTTTGTCTTGTTGACTTGATATCGGTGCGAGACCCGATCATCTTTCGTAATTGTATAACTTGGGTGCTTTCATCCCTTGCATTAGAAACTACAATAAATTAATGGTCACCTAACAAGGTTGGGTGACTAATCCGACAGAGAATCAAACAGCTGACTAATCGCGGTTAATCAAAGAAAACAATCTGAATAAAAAACCTTTTTAACTAACTTTTAGGTACTAATATTTGCTGTAGTTACGACTTTACTAAAGAAATATACAAATGTAAGCAATCATCAAGTTTACTTAAGGAACTTAGGTAAGTTAGTTATTTCCTAACCTCGATTTAAGATCAATCAATTTAAGTAACTAGAGCATCTAACCGGCTCTTACGGTAAAAAATGGAGCTGGGCCACGGAGTATAAAAACTACCAGACGTTGCATTCGGGGCCGCCTGCTCCCCGTTACCGAGGGTGTGGAGCTGGGAATAATGAGCATAGCTCTTTAAAGCTAAAGTAAAAGGGCCAAAATATCTTGAATTTGGTTTGGTAAAGTTTGCATGGGTCTTATTTTAGATATGATCCAGGAACCCTGTGATCTGGAGTATAAACCTAGAAGTGTTTGGTACCGTCCTCGTATACACAACCTGCAGGTCCTGCACTCTAATAACCGCCTTGATATTTGCATGAGTGTACATAGGTAGTTTTTCTACGGAGGGCTGTTGTATACATGAGATATTCGATCCCTTCCTGAAAAGTATTGTGCCGAATATCTCAATCTCGCTTGGAGCGAGATCTGTCGAGTACGCATGCAAAGCGTAAGCACGTAGCATGTGACTTGAACAGTACGCGGGTCACCGCTATTCCCATCGAAAGCCAATGGGCCTTGGCTGGTCTGTGAGTTTCCCATATCGCCTTGCGGCAAAGCCATGCGTCCGATCTGTGCTTACAGGTTGGCAATGCACTCCGCGCGGTAGCAGGCGGCAAGCATTAGGTACACGTGTACAGAGCGCCTCGCGTTGATGGGCATGATGACCTGGGATGTTGCATGGTCGATATGTGATCGCTGCGCCGGGATACTTACTATCTTTGTTAGGACTTGATTCTCGAACGGACTAGGCTGAGTATTCGTTAGTATATGTACCGGACATGGGGTCAAAGCAAGGACAAGGGTGTGCACAGAGCCCTCACGACTTTCCATATTTGAAAGCGACGATCCCATGCGGAGCCGTTAGCCTTCTCCCGAGAGTATGGTATTAAGTTCAACGCAACTTTGGGGTGCCTTCAATACCCTGTTTGAGCAAACAAAGCGGTTTCTCATAATCATTCAATCCGAGATCATGAAATTACCTAAGGTATAACGCAAGTTTATCATCATAATGAGGCTATTTGTTGGTCAGTGGGGAGTACAAACCAATCTCCCTCCCGGATGATAAGCTACGTGGCACCGAGTTTCCTCAACTGAAACTACGCTGGATAAGATGTCGATCTGGAAGAATTCTAGACACCTTGGGTCTCAGATGGTGCTGTTCAATAGTGAAACATCGTGGGGGTCGTTGGGCTGTGCTATGCCGGGTAGTGTATCGATGACGATTGATAAATATGGTTTAATGTTTAAGACTTAATACCACTAATGAAAAAACCGACAAGTCGCTTCTTTCATAAACTGCCGAGTTCTCCTCTTAAGAAACTAAATAAAAAACCAATCTTATTAGTAGATAATCTCTTTGGCCAACAGGCAGTCTTGCCGGAAGAAGCTTGGGACGTGTGTAAGCACGTAAAGTCGAAACCTTAGGTACCTAGGTACTGTAAGATCTCAAACAAGGTATACCCTGCATCTTCAGAATCAAACGCCGTTTTCCGTACAGCTTTATGTAGTTAGCGTAGTTCGGCGATAAACTGCTCCGACAAGCTGGTCGCTTCGTCGGGGTCGATGCATTCGCCGTTTGCGTGTCATGGGATGGGATGGTATTTCCTTTTTTTTTTCTTTTTTTTTTCGTCTTAGCTTCATCAGGAATCATTCTGCAGTCAGCAAATACATAGCCGAACTACTGGGACGGCTATTTTTTTTTTTTCTTTCTCCAATACCCTAATTCTGGTATCAACTCACGATACATATTACCTTATTCTAAGTTATTTATTTATGATAATAATAGGGTAAGCATCCAAACTCGCAAAATAGTCCCCATCGGAAATCTCCTTACTCGTTTCAAGACCCACCACGAGACGTGTACGTATGTGTGTATGTGTGTGTGCCTTCAGAGCGAAATATAATAGGGTAAACCACCATTATGTTGCTTTATGGCGCCATGCATGAGGCTGGGGGGGAGAGGGGTGGTTGATTTTACCGTTTTGACGAATGAGATAATCCCCGCAGAATGCATAATTCATTGGCTAAGGAATAGCGAATACAACTATTGTGTCTCGATAAATTAAACCTATCGCTGCTCCTATATTGCTTAGTGGAGCAGTCAAGATGCATCTGTCAACTATGGTCAACTATGGTCAACTATGGTAAGGTTATATATATGTGCAATACATACATATATTGCGTTGCATCCTCCCTGCATCTAAGCGTATCAGCCCGGGCTCGTGGACTACACCTGGCTTTGA